CAAGCTTCTTAAAATGTACCCAATCTATTTTAATAACACCCACTCAAAAGAAAGCAAAAAATTTAACTTTTTTTGCTACAAATAACTAATTGGCTGATATTAGTAATATTTTATGAAAATACATTCAATAGAGATTTCATCTCGGTGATCGGAGAAAGAAAGAAGAATGGCCTGGGCTAACGGATTTCCCTTCGTCATTTCGTAGAGGGAAGCCCATAACATATGCTTGGCCCTTGGGCTAAGAGTGTTTGGTCCATTACAAATCTTTCTTACGTGGAAATGACACTAGGTAGCCACTTTTAAGATAAAATATCATGGTATAGCCAGTTTTCACACTGGTCAATGAAAAATAGCCAGCGTTTATCAAGTCAATGAAAAATAGCCACTATTTTGCTGCAACAGGGACCGGTCCAGTATAATATACGGGAGTTCTGGTGCATTTGTGTACGAACTCCAGCATATTATGCTGGACCGGTATACTTTGCTAACTCCTGTAAAAATTGCGGGAGACTGGAGCACCAGTGCTCCAAACTCCAGTATATTATACTGGACAATTATACTTGCTGGAACTCCCATAAAATTTGCGCGAGTTCCAGCATAATTATGCTTGAACTCCCGTAAAATTTGCGGGCGTATTTTTCCGGATTTTGAACAGTGTTTTTGCTCAGATTTAAAGTGGCTAAATTTTGATGACTTTTGAAACTTGGCTATTTTTCAACGACCAGTGGTAAATCTGGCTATTTTTGAATTTCTCCCCACTTTTAAGCATGTTGTTTAAATTATATTTGCAATGTACAAAATATTTAAAGATTAGTCAATTCATTCAAACTTCAGGGAAAGCCTCAAGGTTTAAACTTTAGGACATCATGTCTTGTGTCCAGAAATTAGAAATTTATGTCCTGAATTTTAAATTAACAGTTTAGAAATTTAGGACATTTAGTCCTGAATTTTAAATTAGTATTTTAGAAATTCAGGACATTTAGTCCTAAATTTCAAATTAACAGTTCAAAAATTAAGATACTAAGTCTTGAATTTCAAATTAGTAGCTCAAAAATTTAGGATACAAAAAATGCAGGCTAGTGCACTTCGGTCCTTTCTTCTGGCTGATAGCTCGGTCCAATTTAGAGATGTTATTTATTTCTTCTTTATCTATTCTTTGGAAAAAGGAATTTTATATGGATGAGCTAATGATAAGTGAAGATATTGAAATTGATCTAAACAAGGTTCTGTTCATTCATGGGAGGGATAACGAAGTGCAATAGTCAAAACTCAAAACTGTTAATCACATTCTTAATCCTTCGTGATAGTGATTATCGCTCTCCAAAACACAACTGATACAGTTTCTCTTAAGCCTTAAGTCTCATTAATTATGAGTTTCACTTTGTTGGCATTTTATCGGAATGGTTCTTATACCTTAGCCTTTGTTCTCTCTCCTTAATATTTAGTTCTCAATTATACATAAATAGCAGCCCAAAATCTATCTATAATTAAAAAGAGAGGAAGAAGCATCCTCATTAAGCCAAGTGGCATCATCATAATAGGCCACTTGGCACTTTAGGACAATCCTCCAAAAAACAAGGAGCTAGAAGATTATTTAAAATAAATAAATCAGATTTTTTTATTTTTAAAATATTAAATATTTCTTTATTTTAAAAAAGTTAACTGATTTTAAAGCTTACGTTTATTAATCTGTAAATTTAAAAAGGAAATCTGATTTAGATTGTTATTTAAAAATTAAACATTAATTGCACATTTTAAAACATATGTTATTGACTCTTTAACATTGAACCATGAAGACCAAATTTTTTATTTTAAACAGCTTTATTTAATTCAAAATTTCAAATTTATTTATTTTAATAAAATTAACTGATTTTAAAACATACATCTTAAAAATTTAACCGATTTAACATACATTGTTTACTCTTTAACTTTAAAAAAAGTAATTGATTTAGATTTTTATTTAAAAATTAAAAATTGCGCATTTAGAACCCACTTTCCCGAATATTAAAGATTTCTTTATTTCTAAAAAATTAATTGATTTTAAAGCATATGTTTATTAATATTAAAATTTTAAAAGCAAATCTGATTTAGATTATTATTTAAAAATTATACATTAAAATTTGCACATGTTAAAACATACATTTTTGACTCTTTAGCTTTGAACCATGAAGACCGATTTTTTTTCAAATATCTTTATTTAATTCAAAATCTTAGTTTTATTCATGTTTAAGAAAATTAACTGATTTTAAAACATACATCTTAAAAAATTTACTGATTCAAAATTATGAAATAAAAGCTCCTTCAAATGCATCTACTTTAAACCATGAAGACCATAAGTTTTTTTTTCAAGAAAAGAGCTTTATTTAATTCAAAAATTCTGATTAAAAATTAACAGATTATAAAACATTGTTTACTCCTTAACATTAAAAAAGAAAACTGATTTAAATTATTATTTAAAAATCAAAAATTGCACATTTAGAACCCACTCCCTATCCTCTCTAAAACCACTAAACACGATGCAAACCACGTTGAAACCTAACTATTCCACGATGCAAACGCACATTGAAACCTAACTATTCCACGATGCTGACTTTTATTTCTCCAACTTATAGCCTGTCCTTAACTTCAAACTAGTATTTGTACCCGCGCGTTGCGCGGAGAATAAAAATAAAAAGAAGAAAATTTTACTTGAACAATACGGTGGACACAAAGGAGCATGAAAGAAATCTGATTTTGTTATTCATCGATTCGTTGAATATGTTGGGTCTTGTTGCTCTTCATATTTATATACATAATCGAACACATCGTGTGTTTCAAACAAAGAGAAAATCAAGACAGATAGCATGCATACTTCTAGCCAATACTGTAAAGCAAATTTTTGGGCTTTACCATTCTTAAGAAAACCTTTGCCTATCTGCATGAAGAAACAAAAATGTTAGTGAAATTAATTACTTATAGAATTGACGTGATCCAAATTTACTTTTACAGTTCTAGTTCTTGCTCTTGACCATCACGTAATGGATGTCTCATGCTTCTCAAGATCAAGAAATGAAATAGAAGTGTTTTCGACTTATGCCAACTAAAGGGTATCAGAAAATTTTTAAATCAATACAACTTTATTTTAACATAAAGGAAATCAAAATACATACCAACTTGTTGAATGAATACTGTACTAAAGCTAATTTACTCTCGTCCTAAAGTTTTTCGCATTACTTCTCCAAATATATAATTGTCTTCATAATTTTGTGCTACTACTTATATTGCCAAAAGGCTGTAAGATTTGTCATGTTTTTCCTTAAGGATAAGGACTTGACAAACTTATCAGTTTAAAATGTTAAGCAAGTGTTTCTAATGGACTGTATAAAGCTTGCGAGCGAGAGAAAAGTAGATGCACGAAAACCAAACGTGCATTTTCAATCAGCCTATTATGGTGCTTAAAGCACACGTTTCACAAAGAGATATCAATGCCACATATCTAAGGCACACATCGAACCTCAAACGACTGGTTTTCACCAAGAGTCTTTAAAGGACAAAGGAATATGTAAATAGTAACATGGATAGAATTTCTTCAGATCCAATGCACCAATTGATGTTATTAAATTAAAGAGAAACATGTATTTGAATATGATGTTGAGAAAGATCACTTGTGTGTATGTTAAAGAGAGACATGTATTTGATATCATCAAGACATACTATTGAGGAAAACATGAAGCAGCTACTTGTCTTTAACCAAAAATAACAAAAGGTTCATGGCAACTTTCAAATGTTCTCTCTCACATTAGCCATTGCTAATTTTCTTGGATAAATTCTATAGAAAGAAAAAAATGGATTTTGGCAGGGGCTTTCAATTGTCATTAGCCTCAGCAGGATCAATGGAAGAAACTTTCAAATTGCAAATGTTAAGGCGCATGGGACAATGTTGGGAACAATATAAAATATTTTTAAGATGTTTTGTCAAGATAGTATATTGAAAAAGCAACCGTATCAACAAAGGAGGCATTAGAATATTACCTGAGTTGAGGAAATTCTAATTAAATGAGCTTCTTGCTCTTTTTAGTTGCGACTTCAACAATACATAACTTTATGAGCATCATGTGTACCTTCAAGTCGAGAATAAATACTGAAAAGTGTGAAAGACCTACTAACTAAAAAAAACAAAAAAAAATAACAAAAGAGATATGAATGATAACTACTGACCAAATGCACATCAAATTTATTAACTGATAAAATTGTGTCATGTGTTTTAATAGAATAGTTTTTATGATTAATAAAAGACTAAAGAGACCATTATGGTTGCAAATTATCGAAGAAGATTAAGACTAAGTCGGCACTCTGTTAGACATCAAAAGGAACTTATCCTAAATCTTTCATATCAGATCTCAAAGAACAGACTACCAAGAAAAGAGAACTATGTATGGCCTACGAAACAGTTAAATATCGATGACTTTTTGTGTCGACTTTATATTTGTCCTAAAGAAATGCTTTAAAAATTACCTCGCAGGAGTTTGTTGTTGTGTAGTACAATAATTTTAGCAATCAGAGATATTAAATGATGATGTGAAAACCTTTTTTTTTTTTTAAAAAAATTGATAGTGTTGAGATGTTAAAGAAGTTGTTGGTTTATTTCAAATTTTGTGGTGCCATAATCTAGTTAACGGAACTGAGAAAAAATCGTAAGAATTTTCATAGATTTCTCTAAATAATAGGCCAATAGAACCTACTTGATCAATACACAATCCAATTTCAGAATATTTACCCTTTATTGGAATTTTAATATGAAGGCCAAGAATTTGTTGATATTAAACTTAGTCAAAGTGAACAGTTTGAACCTCTCCACCCATATGCTGAACTAAATTTCAGATCTGTTGATGCTTAAATTAAAATTTCACAATGCACATAGGATTTAATCCAGTATCTTTCTTTCAAATTCTTTATCTGACATCCAAGATTACTTCTCCACTGTTTGAACAATGTATAATTTCAGGAAAAAGCAATTCGATTACCTCTAGACAATGTGTGACGTTGGATACTTAAAAAATGAAGCTAACTGACATCCAAGCTTGCTTCTACGCTGTTTGAACAATTTATAATGTAAGAAAAAAGCAATGCAAAAAAATAATTACAGAAAGGGGTCTAGTCAAAGTCGATTACCTCTAAACAATGTGTGGCATTGGATACTTAAAAAAAAGAAGCCCCTTCGTCAACATATCTTCAAAGCTGTAGAATTAATTGCATAAAGTTTCGTAAGCAGCAAGTCAAGGAGCAAAGAGTTGTGCAATGTCTTTCTGACTTAAATTGTAAAGCTTTTTATTTGTGGCAGTCGACTTTCACTATTGTGATTTGTTCAAGCAATTATAAAACAAAGCAAATTGGGGTATACAAGCTATAAAAATAATGATCATGCTTATTGAGAAACGAACATGTTTATGATTGTGGTCTAACTCAGTTAGATTATTTCCAAACATAAAGATGTCATATTTTCCACCTTTTGCCTTAGGAGCTTAGCCACAAGAGGGTAAAGCTTCAACTATATCCTATTGAGCACATTCTGCAATGCTAAAGCATATAATTATATCTAACGTGTCTACATCTATGCATATATAGTTAGATTGAGACTCGACTTTGAGACATCAAAATTTCATTATTAGGAGATCATGAGAATATATATTGCAAACAGAGCACTTCTGCTCCACTATTGTACGCAGAACATGTATCATCTTTCTAGTCAACAAAAATAAAAATTTATTTCAGTTCCAAAATGACTCACTATTAAATACATAAAAACGAACATATATGTATATATATGTGTGTGTGTGTATGATGAACAAAGCAAAAAAGTTAAGAAAAATCAATTACCGGGAGTCTACGGAGCATAGGCCCACCAGAAAAGAAAATTTGATTTTATTCTTGCCAAGGAATTGCCTGAAAGAAGTTTCTTTAAGAAAAAGAAAAAGAAACCGAACAGATATACAAAGAATTAGCACCAAGGAAGAAATAGAAGAAGATCCAAAAAAGTTGCTAGTATAAAATTTAACAGAATGAGAAGAATAATACCCAAATTGAATAAATAAAGGGGAAAATAAACAAAATAGAACTTACCTTATTACTGAATATAAAATCCCTTCGTCAATTACATTAGAAGAATCCCGCAGATCCTCCTTGTAAAAAATACTGCAAAAATACAAAACAAACAAAACCTACTTAAAAGTAAATTAATTAAACTTGAAATGCAGAACCTGCACTTTTTCAAATAAAAAAAGAGCACCTTTTTCTGGATGAAATTGTGAACAGATGATTTCGAATCCATAATCATGGTTTAACAATGTTGTCGCCGACGAACTTTTAGCAATTCAAAATGTTACTTCATAATTGAACTTTGGAGTGCATGAATGTAGAATCACTACGGATACCTTGAGCGGGACATGTGAAATTGCAGAAATTTCAAGCCCACGCATTGAACAAAGTTCGTGATTAAGAAAAATAGGAGGAGAATCATTTATGAGGGAGAGGGTGCGGATGAATAGTCCAGAACCTGGGTCTTGTTTCAGTTTTTTTTATACCATTTTTACCTTTTCCGTTTTTATGAGGGAGGAGTTAGTTTAGGATATTGTTGCCCATGTTTGAGAACACGATCAATCGTGGAGTATTTTTTTTTTGTTGGCTTTATTATTATTTCTATGTAGGTTTATAATAAAATAAATAAAAACTAATGAAAAACGTAGGAGTCCATCTTTTGGAATTGAAGTAATTATTTTTTTTAGTTTTCAGTTTTAAAAAGTATCCGCCCAAAAATATGGGAATAACTGAACTTGTTAATTATTTAAAATTTTATAACTTTTTTCCATTTTAATTTTATAAAAATTTGAATCTCCAAAAGTATTGGAGTTTTGTCCTAAAATATGACACGTGTTGATATTTCATTTTGACACTTGGCATAATTTCATGGATTTGCTTCTCCTTTTATATATTAATAGATATTCCGCCTGCTATCAAAAATACAAGAAAACATACGATTTCAGCAAATATGACTATTCACACTGATTTAATCAAGCAAGTTCAAAGTTCGGATCCTTACCATTCCAATGGTATTTTCTAGATTGAATTGGTTCTACAAGATGAAAAGGTATTAAAAATCTATTATTATCTTATAATTCGTTTTTAAATTTTCATATGTGTATATTCATGGGATAATCAATAGCAAAAACCTGATTGAAGCATTTGTGCACCAAATATATATATATCCTTAAATATGTTTCTCAGTGATATACTAAGAATAATACACAACAAAATACTTTACTCACCTGCATGGAACTTTTTGATGAAACTGCAAATTAATTTTGCAAATGATCTATTTTTTTTCATCATAGTAGAAAGAGAAAGTCTTTATTTTGAGCTTAATTTGTTCCGCTAAAATGTAAGTTTGAAGGCAAAACTATTGTACATGCATGGATACGATCAATTTTTTATTTTTTAACATATTAAGCATTTTGAAATGTATGACAAGAGGACTAGATCAACCAATAAGGCATCATCGAGTTGTTAACTACTCGGATGTATGTATGCATTACTTTAATGCTAATTCATAGGAAGTCAAAAATATAAAATTCCACCAAGCCTCGAAGAACTTTTTGCCTTTATTGTTTCTCAGTCATAATTTATTCTCCATAAAACATAGTATTATAGTTTGGGATAAATATTTAGAGGAATATATTTGAGGAACTTTATTCACCATTATGAGTTTTTTTAGAAGTAGAATAGGCTTTTTCTAATATTCAATTTGGTGGTTATGCATTGTGACAAATTGAAGCATAATTTAGTTCTTTATTCTTCACTTACAACCAATTGATTATTATTTGAAAAGTTAACAAGTAAAGCTTTATAGGTTTGGTTTAGTGTTCTACCTAATTCACCATGAAGCAAGCAATAACAGAGAGATAGGTGAGTAGAAATGAAAATATATTAATGTCACAGTCATATGCCGTAAGGAATATAATAAAATGCAGGCTATTTACATTTCCAAGCCAAAATTAAGGTTTCACCTAAAAGACCAGCTATCTCGAAAGAGCTAAATTTTATAGCAACTCTCCGTTCACTAAGAGGAGCTGAATTGACAGGCTATTATGCTAAACATTACCGATTACGTTGGTACAATAAATGACATTGCTGGGCGAGCAAGAGTCCTGTTGGTACAATCACTGTCATTGCTTATTCTCCAAAGTTTTAACAGTCAAAGTATCAATGCACCTGTTCAATATTTTTTTCCTTTTGCCTTGCATTTCAGCTTCGCCTATGGAGACAATATCACCTAAGACATCCAATTTTTTGGGATTTTTTGCTTTCTTAATATTTCTATTGTAATCTTCTTGCAAAGGAGCATTTGATGATCACAGTGCTAATTTCCTTATGACTTGAATATATGAATATTCAATACATTCGATGGTTCATAAAATAACAGCATTTTAATGCTCCTTTGTGTCTATCATATTTTAAAAAAAATATATTTTTTATATTATCCGCGCATCGCGCGGGTACGTATACTAGTAGCTCATAACAAAAATAACCCTAATCTTTATTTTTAACAAAAATGTAACTACTCTAGTCACTGTATAATCGGCGTGTATACTGGAGATGTGTGCACTTGTGTATGAACTTCCAGCATATTATGCTGGAACTCCAACACACCGAAAGTTCCAGCATAATATACTGGAGATTGGAGCACATGTGTATGAACTTCCAGCATATTATGTTGGACCAATATATTATGCTGGAACTCCAGTATATAATGCGGGAATATTTTTCGGATTTTAAACCGTGTTTTTGTTCAGATTTATCTTTACGTGAAAAGTAGCTAAATTTCGATTACTTTTGAAACTGTGTCTATTTTTCAATTACCAATTGTAAATCTCGCTATTTTTGAATTTTACCCGCTACAAATAGTTATGACTAGGCGGGAGTAAATATTGTCACTTCAATAAAGGTGAATTTCACAGATAGGGCACTTCAGTGCCACTCTTGATTTTTTGACCTCGCTTTCCCATGGGCAGACCTTCAAGTGATGCCCCTCGGCCTCGCTTGTCCCATGGGCAACACTTTTGACTGTTGACCCTGAAGGTTTACCCATGGGGCAAGCTAAGAGTAAAAAAGTTAAAACCAAACATTTTCAAGATCATTTGGTGTAATTTCCTGTCTCGCTAAACTGTTAAGACGACGTAGTTTAATTCCGTTGACGGATATTGTTCGGGCTTTTATGTAGGTGTTCATAAATGTCCCATGGTAGTGCATGGGTTTCTACAAGATGATAAGTCCATTCTTGAGCAGAAGAGCAAAACAAAAGTTTTCATTTGCTAGTGCATCAAAAAACATAGAAACCCTTCTCAAGTATGTGACAATCTTTTCTCCCTCTTCTGAAAAAAACTTTAATATTGCCTGATAATCATTTTAAAAAATATTTTGGAAAAATTATTCAAGAACTAAAAGAAACCTATTTGTTCTTTTGATAATGGATTTTGTTTTCCAAAAATAGAAAAAAAAATTATATGGAATGTCAAAGAAATAAGATTTACATTGCATATGCAAAGTAGAGAGAAACTTAATACATAATGTTAGAGACAGGGTGAAAGTACTGAAAATTTGCACCAAGACTATTTCATATAAAGTACCAAGGGAATATATACTGTTTACCCTAAAATTATATAGTCTGTTGTGGACAGTGCCCTGAAATTAGACAACACTATGTTTAAACATGAAAAAGGGCAGTCCGGTGTATAAGATATCCCACATTCGCGCAAGGTCGTGGGAAGGGTCGCACCCGAAAGGGTGTGATGTAGACAACCTACCATAATGCAAGCTTAGTGACTGTTTTCACGACTCGAACCCGTGACCTATAGGTCACACCAGACAACTTTGTTGTTGCTCCAAAGGCTTCCCTTCACTATGTTTAAACATGATAACATCTTAATTTATTATAATGCATGGTTGCAATACAGATGTGCCTCATTACCTGGGAGCTAAGAGTGATAGGACTGTGCTGAGTATGTTCCTAGAGATGTATCTGCTTACAATGTAATATTTTTTAAATCGGTGTTTGGCCATAAAATTTTCAATTGTCACTTGAAGATGAATTTTGGAATTTTTCGAAAATTTGAAAAACTCCAAAAACCTGTTTTTCAAATTTTTCGCTCAGATTACTCACAAAACTTCAAAAACAACCAAAAATTATATTCATGTCCAAACACAACTCTAATTTTCAAATAACATTTTCATTTGAAAAAAAAAATCACTTTTTTTGGAATTTTACAATTCTTATGTCCAAACACACACTTTGTAATACAGGAATGGCAATGCAGGCTTTGTTTTGTTGGGCATTTGGTTCATTAACATTACAAATTTAATACGTAATGTACATATATAATAGTATATGTTTATTCTTTAAGGTGAATAAAATTTTGTTTACAGTGATATTACCCTCAATTCGAATTCAACCAAACGTTATTAACGAAAAAAAAAAGGCACTCTTCCCTCTTGGAATGTTTTTTGAAGAAAACAAAATTCAAGTAAAACTTTTCAGCTTCTCAAAACTTGAGTTTTAGGTTTTCGAAAGGTATTGTCTTGGAATTATTTTTAAAGGATATTTGTTACTAAAAATATCTTTCCTTTCTAAAAGATTGAATACAGTAGAAAACATGTTAGTTTATGAGGAAACAAACCATACAAAGAAAATTTAGTTCTATTTGGCTTGGTTGTTTCATTTGATTCAATCACTAGTTAAATTAACTTTGTTAATAATGATAATTATTCAATAATCAAATGTAGAAATCACTTTTGACCTAATACTTTCGATCAAATTAGCGAATAAACCCGCAAGCCACACAATTTTAATTTGGGCTTGAAATAGTGGATGAATAATTGTAATAATAATAATAATAATAATAATAATAATAATAATAATAATAATAATAATAATAATAATATAGAATCATCTAAAAATGATTAATTTAAGCATTTTTATACTTTTTTACAGTAATCATAATTCATAACCATGTGTAATGATGATCAGTTCCAGAAAGTTCATGGCACCAAAATATTTTTTTTTTCTTTGTTCAGTGGGTTATTTAGAATTTTCTTCTCCTCTTTCGGCGGGTTGTTCAGTAAAAGGTTGAGAAAGAGAAATTGAAAAAGAAATTAGACAAAAAGAGCACATTGATGAGCCAAAAGCCTAATACTTAATTGAAAAAAGGGGGGAAAAAGAGCACATTAATAAAAGGTTGGGACACTAATGTCCTGAATAATCCCTAAATTAAAATTTTTAGTTTATAGTTTCAACATAAAATAACTAGTATTTAACCCCTAAATAGCAGCCCTTAGAATGGTTGTTTGTACACTTCGCCCGCATTGATGAGCCAAAAGCATAATACTTAACTGAATTTTTAGTTTTCAAGAACCCTTTTTAATTTCCTATCTGATACTAATATTCGAATTAGAGCCCTACTGATCCAAATTAATGTCGCATAAAGCTATTAAAT